TTTTCAATGTTAAATAAAAAGTAATTAAGGTAAACTTATCAGATTTCGCCCCAATAAAAGTATTATATTTTTCTTTCAAATTTCATCGTAAACAAAAATAAATAAAAAAAAATTAGTTTAGCCGGACAAGAGACAAAAATGGTATATGTATTTACAAAAAACAGAGATATTTTTTTTTTACTGATAACACCAAACATGAATCATAGGGATGGATTCACTAAAAAGTGAGTGATAAAAACAAAGGGGTTTCTTTAAAAGCTTTCTATACATAATGTATACATTCTCATCAATTCCATATCAACTGTAACCAAAAATTTATAAATTTTATTGTATAACCAAATTATTTTTTACTTTGATATGCAAGAATAACACGGTAACCTTAAATTTCATTGTGTAATTTCAAGTTGTATACTTAACATTGTAATATAATCAAAATGTTAATTAGAAATTAGAAATAAATTTAGATTAAAGTAGTATTATTATTTTTTTGTAAGTCTATGGAACAATTTTGTTTTAAATGCATTTTATACAATTTCAAGTAATTAATTTCAAAACGCATTAGTACGGTAGTTAAATTCAATTGTAGAACAATAAATTATGCCTAATAGGCATAAATTATTATAATTATATAATTAAATTATCATAATTATTATAATAATATATATTTTATTATAATATGAATTTTTAGTGGATTTTGAAATTAAAATTATCTATGATTTTAAAATTCCAGTAATTCAGTTTTAAAACACAATTTAGAAATTTTAAATTTTTCTCAATTGTGTTGATATTGATACAGTATTACTGCAATATTGAATTCATGGTATTTGTCCGTTATGTTGCTTTTTATTTTTTTATAAGTTTTTGATATATTTTTCTAGTTTGAAATTGAGTATCTTATTATCGCTTATTAAATACGTAATGAACAAATTAAATTGGCATTTACTTTTTTGTCAAATGTTTTACAATTGGCAGCTACTCAAAACCTAATTATACAGCAATTTAATAATTAAATTAATGTTGTGTTAATAAGATGAAAAAATAAGTGGATTTACAAAGCAAAAATTTCATCAATGTATGACTTTTATTCTTGTATTAAGCACAATGTAATATTCTTCAATGTTGTCAAAACAAAAGCATAGATAATTATATGCGTTGCCATAATTTGTTGTAAAATTAATTCTATTTAAAAAATTATTTAAAACTTTAATGTAAAAAAAAAATTTATTGCAGAAGTTTCATTCAGTCATTCAAGAACTCCCCAATAAAACGGGTTCAGTAAAAAAAAAGTTTTTTTTTTTAAATTAACTAACAATTATTTTGCATCACATTTCATCCAACGCACAAAATCTATTGCTGTAAAATTCTTACATAAATTTTTCATTCTTGGTCGCTTTAATTGGAATAGTTAAATGCATGTCTTTTATTTCAAGAATATTTTATTTTAATATTTTGAAACATTGAAAAATACTGTTATAATAGTATTTGGCAGAAACATTTTTAATACGTTAAAAAGCATTATAAAATCAAAATAAATCTAATTAAAATAGAAAACAAAAAAAATTTATTAGCGATAAAATTTATTGCTGTTGTACGCTCCTCTCCAATAGTAAATACCCTATTGATATAGGAGAAAAAGTTAATTATTTAAAATTAGAAAATAAAAACAAGAACATAGTTAAGTTTTCCTGTTTTGTCGATTGTCGTATTTCCTCTAGCTTTGTTAGTTTTATACTTAAAACAGTGCTTACTTTTGGTGACGCCCAAGGAGACGATGAGGAAAGCTCATTACCGCATATGGATGGTTTTCACTCGAAATTACCACCGGGTATATTGCCGCATGGTTTACCAACAGTTAAAGAGGTAGCTCCAGCAATAACACCACAAGAACAAAAAAAAGATCAAGATGGAAAAAAGCAAGGTAAGGGAAATTTTTCGTTCATTAATATTGTATATAGCAAAATTAATTCTTTTTTTTTATGGTAGTGAAAGAGTTGTCTGAAGAACAAAAACAAATGATTATCCTCTCAGAAGAATTTCAACGTTTTGTTGTACGTACTGGCAGAATTATGGAACGTGCTCTATCAGAATCAATTGACATTTATACGGATTATATTGGTGGCGGTGATAATGAAGAGGCTAGTGATGAAAAAAGTCATGCCCGTCTTTCATTAAATCGAATATTTTATTGTGATCGTTGGTCAAAGAATCGTTGTATAACATCAATGGATTGGTCGACACATTTTCCAGAATTAGTTGTTGCTTCATATCATAATAATGAGGTTGAGTTCATTCAATATTTTCTACCAAAATGAAATATGTACAGTATTTTTTAATTTTTTTGTATTATATTTTAGGAAAGTCCAAATGAACCAGATGGGGTAGTAATCGTTTGGAACACTAAATATAAGAAATCGACACCTGAAGAAATTTTTCATTGTCAAAGTGCTGTTATGTCTACATGTTTTGCTAAATTTAATCCAAATTTAATATTGGGTGGAACATATTCTGGACAAATTGTATTATGGGATAATCGTGTACAAAAACGCACTCCAATACAAAGGACACCACTAAGCGCAACAGCACATACACATCCAGTTTATTGTTTGCAGATGATTGGAACACAGAATGCTCATAATGTGATATCAATTTCTTCAGATGGTAAATTATGCTCATGGAGTTTAGATATGTTATCGGTACCACAAGATACTATGGAATTACAACAAAGGCAATCAAAGCCTATTTCAGTTACTAGTATGGCTTTTCCTAATAACGAAATTAATAACTTTGTAGTTGGTAGCGAAGACGGATATGTATACTCAGGTATGTATAACAAGATTTTAAACTTCAATAAATATTTAGCTTTTGATTTGTATCAGCCTTCCGACATGGAACTAGAGCTGGTGTTGGAGAAATATATGAGAAACATTTGGGACCCGTAACTGGTATTTCAACGCATTATAATCAATCTTCACCAGATTTCGGTCACCTATTTCTAACGTCATCAATAGATTGGACCATAAAGTTGTGGAGTTTGAAGGTATAGAATATTAAAGACATAATTATTACACAATATTAAATAGAAATATTATTAAAACTAGAAAATGTAGAAAATAGCTTTAACCTATCGAAATTATGCCCAGATTTTTTGAATTTATTAATGAAAAATTTATTTTTATTTGTTCTTTTGCAGGACAATAAACCATTATATTCATTCGAAGATAATTCCGATTATGTTATGGATGTTGCATGGTCACCAACTCATCCAGCCTTGTTTGCTGGTGTTGATGGAAGCGGTCGTCTTGATTTATGGAATTTAAATCAAGATACCGAAGTTCCAACAGCATCTGTAATTGTTGACGGAGCACCAGCACTTAATCGTGTTTCGTGGACACCTTCGGGTCTTCATGTTACGATTGGTGATGATGCTGGCAAACTATATGTTTATGATGTTGCTGAAAATTTAGCACATCCAAGGATGGATGAATGGAATAAATTCAATGGAACTTTGAATGAATTAAAAATGAATCAAACTGATGAATTTTAATAATTTATATAGTGCTACATTAATAAAATTCTCTCTTTAGTTTTAAAATCATATTATAAGAAGTATATAAACATTTGAATGTAAAAAAGGGAATTATAAAAAAGGAACAAAAACGTTAAATTTAATAAATTGCTTATAAAATTCTTGAGTGAATACGAAACTAAAGGAAAAATTCATTTAAATGTTGCAAGACTTTTTCCTTTTATTTTTACCGTTTCTTGAAGATTTATGAGTAAAAAAAAGTTTTTTACATTTAAAAATTCATAAACTTAGATTTTTTTATGAACATTTACTTAGCCTTCAATACAAGTTTTTCTAGCTAGTGAATAATGCAAGATTATAATTTTTTCAAAATTTTAAATGTAAGCGAGATAGGAAATTTTTATGTGTAAATCTGCTAATGCTGAGGGTGATACAATAAATTTCTTATATGTGTTATTTTTTTTATGCATTATTTTAATTCCTTATATTCGATTATTTTTTTGTAACATTTTTATTAAAATTTTTTTTTGGAACTTAATTAAAGATGAACGATACTTAAATGAAATCAAAACTTAAATATAAAGAATAAATCATCAGTGATAGAAAAAAGCGAAAAAAGAAATGAATCTAGTATCGAATTATGTAAAACATTCAGTAAACTAAATACATTAAAATATAATGCTGTAAAACATATTTATTCAAAACATGAAAATATTTAATATATATTATATGAAATAAAAACCAATGTTTCTTTATCAGTAAATATAATAAAAATAATTTGCGCCTGTTTATGATGGTGATTAAAAAATAAACTATGTATGAGCTTCGTTAATTACTGTCTTCAAATTGCTGTTAAAGTAAGAGGCATAAATAAGAGGTGAAATAAGAGGCCCAATCACTCCAACCCAGTTAAAATTTAAGACGTATAATAATATAAGAAGTATAATAGAGATACAAACAAGTTGCATATGAAAAAAGATTTTATACAAATATTTAGAAAAAATATAAATTGAAATTTTTAAAACAGTGTTAGACAATTAAAAAGCAAAATGTGTAACAGCTTCTTGAACAGATTCCATGCAAATATTATTGGATTACCTATATGCAGCACAGTGAGATCAAAACTTAATATGAAGAACTTTTCAGTTTTAAGTTTTGATAAATTTTTGAATACATATTTTGTATTTAAACGAAGATAAGTCTAAAAATGACATTAGTTTGGAAATTGTTTTACAAAAGCAACAAAAATAATCCTAAAATCACACTGTTAAAAAAAATAGACGAAAGCGCACATTTCTTTGGCAGGAGAGAGACAATTTTTACGTTTGAAGAATCTTATCATATACTTTTTTAAAAAATTATACCAAAAAAAAAAAAAAAACAATGAGAAAACTTGAATTCAAAAATAGAATTGTCACTTAGTCTTTCTCATCCTCTCTCATGCAACCACGAAAATCTTTAGTTTTTAGTAAAATTTTCTAATTGTGCGCACTAAACTTTTTTAATTAACAAAGACTAAAGACAGAACTGCTTTAATAATTCCAACAAAATTATTTTTTAACTAATATTTCAAGAATATTAAAAAAAGTTGAATGGATATATTATTTGTTAGCCAAAAAATTTTTCTTGGAGATAATTGTGAAGACTTTATAGACGGTGCAATTCTTGTTACGACAGAAGGAAAAATTCGTCAAATATTAAGAAACCGAGAGCAAGTTAATTCTTTTATATATAATAATGAGCCAGAGTCCGTATGTGAAAAATATAGAATATATATAATATTGCACTTGTGTTAATACATACATACGTAATGCATGCAAAAGAATGTTATATGTATATTCTTCTGTCTTTTTTATATAGGTAATTGATTTCAAAGACAAGATTTTGATGCCCGGTCTTGTTGATATTAATGTTAATATATTTGAACCAGGAAGAAATGATTGGGAAGGTTTTGTAACTGCAACTAAAGCTGCCGCTGCTGGTGGTATTACAACCCTTTTCGATATGCCAATGTAGGTTGTTTGCAAAATATTTTTGTAATTTTCTTTTAAATTTAAACCAATTTATTTGCTTCACTTTTTTGCTAAAATAAATATGTACGTAGTTTTTATTCTTAATCTTTATGTTAAGCAAAAATACTGTTACTGAAAAATTTTTACTACGAATAGTTACAATGTACCACCAACCGTAAGCGCTGAAACTTTAAAGGCTAAAGCACTCATAGCGCGTGGTAAATGTTTTGTTGACGTTGGCTTATGGGGTGGAATAACATCATCAAATGTAAAAAATTCTACAGAAATTGAAAATTTAGCAAGAAGTGGTGTTATTGGCTTGTACTGTAGTTTATGTCCATCTCAAACAAATGAGTTTTCAGAAGTTAAAAAATCGGATATACAATCAATTTCAAACATAGTTGAAAATTCTGGTAATATCTTGGCGGTAATATTTATGTTTTTTAAAATAAAACCATTGTGTAAAATTCTAATATTTCAGTTTCATCCTGAAATAATGCCCGAAGTTCCGATAAAACCAAATCAAGGTTAATTTAGATATAATTTTTTTTATGAATTTAAACTTTATATTCGCCAAGATATTTCTTCCCATAATTTATTTCTTAAAAATGTTTTAAATTAAATCAAAACCCATTTTTAGATGAACCTAAAAAATATGTGACTTTTTTGGACACAAGACCCGCATTCATGGAGAAGGCTGCCGTTGAAATTATCACAGCATTATCGGTAGAAAACAAATCCATCCCTATACATATTTTGAATTTAAGTTGTGCTGAAACTTTACCAATCATAAAAGAATGTAAATCAAAAGGTGGAAAACTAACGGTTGAGACATGTCCTCATTATTTAATATTTGATTCTGAATCTATCAATGACACCCAAACAGAGTTTAAATGTTTTCCACCTATTCGAGATAAAGAAAATAAAGACAAACTTTGGAAAGCAATTGCCAGCCACGAAATCGACATAATTTCCTCAAATCATAGTCCTACTCTTCCCGGTTTGAAGTGCTTAACATATGGGAAAACTAGAGGAAACTTTTTAAAAGCTTGGTCTGGAATAGCTTCGTTACAATTAGGTAAAAATGTTGATAAAAATTATACCACCGATTATTTCATAGAGATTTACATACAAACTTTTAACTTATATTACTCAAAAAATATAAAAAATGTATGTAAACTGATTTTAGGATTATCAATATTTTGGACGGAATGTCGCAAGTATGGATTGGATATTAAAGATGTTTATAGATTATTCTGTAAAAATCCAACAAAATTATGCGGAATCGGCCACGTTAAAGGTACTTTTATAATTTTCCAGTAAATATATTTGCATATTCAATATTAAATTTAAATACATATTATACACATACATACATATGTATGTAGGTGTTATCAAGGAGGGGTATGACGCTGACTTTTGTGTATGGGATCCTAATGAAGAATTCACAGTCTCAAAGGAAGATCTATTCATGCAAAACAAAGTAAACAATTTTTTATCCTAGTTCTAGTTTTATTATTCCGCAATTTTAAGATTGTAAATTCTTAGTCGACACCGTATTTAAATATGAGGTTGAAGGGTGTTGTATATGCAACAGTCGTCAGAGGACTTCATGTGTATGAAAGATATTCTGGATTTGGACAACCATTAGGAAGGATTATTTTAAGAAGACCAACTAAGCAAGTTGTCAGATTTAGTTAAAAAACAAATAAGAGTTTTCGGAAATAAAATGTCGATAATGTACAAATTCATACATATGCCTAGTCTAATTATACATTATATTTAATTTATTCCCTTTCTATTTAGGTATTATTTATTTCCTTAAATTTGGATTTATATGTACATACATAGATAAATATAAAATTCGATCCGAAATTGTAATCTTTGATCCGTGGATAAGGATCGATAATTTAAAAGTGACATACATACATAGATGTACATATACATCTGTAGAAAAATTGTCTTTTACATCTTCAAACAGCTTTTTTCTCAAGTTTGTCCTCTATATAACAAATCCAATATATTGGAAATCGATCTTGAAGCTCTTAGATTATTATTTTAAGAAATTATTTTAAGTTATTTTAAGAAATTACCTTCCTAATTGGGTAACTGGACGTTACTTATGACCTTTTGCTATGGATAAAAATGCGATTAATTCTAATTTTTGAAATTCATGATAGTATGTTTAAATTATTTCCTTGAAATTTTTCAATACTTCTGAATACATGAAATATGTATCATTTACAAATGCATACATAAATTTTCAAGTCATTTTATAATTGCAATAAGTATGCGGGCTTCCCTGACTTTAAGTTTTTCAATACTTCTAACATTTAAACGAATTCCATTCCTTAATATTTGTCATAAATTAAAAAAAAAAATTTAATAATTGAAATTCGATTGTACCATTTGATTCGAAAATTAAATTAATGACGTTTTATATTAGAACAAAATTTTAGTACAATTCATAGCGTTAGATTGTACCATTCATAAATCAACATTTCAAAACGGTTATCATTTCGCGTTATAATGCGGGATAGAAGAGTGGGTATGAAGCAAACTGGTAGTACAAAAAAATATTTTACACCTAAACGGTATACAATTAAGAATTTAGAAGTAGTTCAGTTTCCACTTTGCTTAAAATACTACACCAACAAAAGAAATTTTTCCCGATACAAAATGTCGTATTTTTATTATGTGTAAGAGAAATTACAGGATTTCGCAGAAAAAAGAAAAATTTTTTTAAATTTTTTCTTAATTTGAAGATTCAGATTTCCAATTCTATTTGTGTGTTGTTGCAACTGAAACAGTATTTTCATAGTCTTTTACGCAAAATGTTTTAATAATGTAATTTTACATTAGTTTACTTAATAGTTTGACAGCTTTTCAATAGTCATGTATAAATTTTAAAACTTTAAGACTGAAGCTTTAGTTGAATTCACTATTTCACCTGCAAATAAAATTTTCATATGAACTTACATACATATATGCATTTTACAAATGCAATTATAAGTTCATATGAAAATAATTATGTACCCTTAAGTGACTGCTTGCAGATAAATAAACCGAAAAATATATTTTTCAAAACTCTGCCAATGGATAACCAATTTAAAACTAATATGCTTCGATGCATAATTTCAATTTTATCTTAACAATAATGCAAACTAATGGTATGGAAATGAGTTTTCCAAGCTGAAATATTTTTATAATAATACTTTATTTATTCACTATACACGGACTCAATTGTAATAATAATGAATCACATATTTGGGAAGCAAAAGTGATATTTGTTTAATTTGAATTAAATGTCAAACTTACTTAACATCGTAATAAAATTAAGATTAGTATGGAAAAAAATTAAAAAACGAATTGCATTTTATTCTTACTTGAATTTCAATTTTTCACTTAATTTCAATTCATCACTTGGAAACCAGTGTTAGTTTAAAACTCAAAAGATAACAGACTGCAAAAGATAATGAGTTGATTATAAAATGATATAGAAAGAGTTAATTTCGTTTTTTACCAAACGAATACAAAAATTCATTTAGAGCAAAAAAATTGAATTTTTGAAATGAAACTGTTTTTTGTGTCAATTGTTAACGACATAAGACATAACGCAATAAATTAAAATATCGTGAGTAAAAAGTTATTGTGTTTCACTCTTCGTTAGTAATCATTCAATGACATGAAAGAAAATGTTACAAATACATATGATGCAACAGATTTCATTGTTCGAAATTAATGACACTTATTTGCGAAAAAAAAACAACACAAAAAACTTCAATAATTTTTAATCGTCAATTTAGTATTTCGTAGGACCTCCTTTTTAGTGACGTTTCACTGTTCTTATGTGTCATTATATAGTAAAAAGGAAAGTTCATAGTTGATAGTTTTTTTTGTTATTAAGATAAGCCTGTCGGTGGAACGATTAATATTTCTTTGATAAAGAACGATATTTAGGTGTTTTCGCAATATTGAAAAATAAAATATCAATCGGAATTTTATGCACTTAAGTTTTAAACTTTTTAGAGTTTGTGGGTTTTGCAAACAAAAATAAAAAAAAAGTGAAGTTTGTCTGGCAGTGGAATTAGCTGGTAAATTTGACGATATTTTGACGAAATAAATTATTTTGACTTACTTTTCTGACATTTGTTTATTGAAATTTGTGATGTCATGTCATCATAATAAAAAGAAAAAGAAAATTTGGAAAATATTTGCATTAAATATTAGTTTTTATTACTAATATTGATAACAATATTAAGGAAAGAAATTAAAGTTGAAAAACATATTGTGTTTTGGTAATTTATAGAAAATTTAATTTTTCTGTAGCTTGAAATTTTAGTAAAAGAAAAATATAAAAATAAAGCATGACGTCATCAAAGAATATAAGCCCATTAAAAGTCAAGTAGGAGAACCTTTGGGTTTTATTCGTTTTGTTATTTAATATTACTTATGAATATATTTTTGTGTACCTCTGTGTTTTATACATATATCACATTAGATTTTTTATTTGCATAAAATTTAAAACTTAAATAAGTATAATCTCTACAAAATTCAATATTCTATTAATAGCATTAAGATTACTTGTTAATGATTTGTTCTATAAGAACTAAATTATGAAAAATAAATTAAACAAAAGTTAAATTTTTGATAGAAGCTTAGTTATCAAAAAATGTTTAAAATTTACAGCAGTGTAAGTTAAAAAATATTTATGTTCCATATAAATAATAATCTTAGCATACTAAAAAGTAAACATTCTTTTTTGCTTTTTTACCAAATTGCTTACGTCATCTTTTACAAATTATTCACTCATAATAAAACTGTTTCTTGTTGCCCTCAGTGGTTTAAATATGTACATATGTATGTATGAAAAAACTTTGAAATGAAAGGAAGACAAAAAGTATTAAAAAAGATTAGATTGTTATTGTACATGCGCAACAGATTATGATGTGCTCTTTTCTATTGAAATATAAAAATGCATTTAACATTTGCAATGAGTTGCAAAGAATTGATCAAGCCGGTTTCTTGGCCACTAAAATATTCAAAGCAGTTAGTGTTTTTTTTTCAATTCCAAAAAACGCATTTAGCTGGTGAACTATGACAGAACTTACCTTCATTTTTAATTGTAAAGGAAGGATGCTATTTAATAAGAGATCCTTGATAAAGAAAAGGTTAATATAAACTCTAGATAGGTAGGTATACCTATATTTATCTAGATATTTAAAAAAAATCCAAGTGTACGTTCCATTCTTCTATGCGTAGGTAGATAAGTTCCTTAATCAAAAAAAAATTTAAAAATATATTTTTTGGTTTCCACTTACCTTCTTACAACATAGTTTTAAATAACATTTAAATATTATATTTTATTTATTAATAATACAATTTATTATTAATAATACAATTATTTATTAATAATACAATATTAATTCTAACAATACAATATTATTCTAATAAAACAAAACAATAAAATTTAATATTAAATTTTCAAGTTATAAATACATATTACATATGTTTATAATTAATTCCAGAAGTTGAATTCGCATGCAACTAGTTTTCACATAGTTAATGCATTATGTACCTATCCAATTTATGTCTATTTTATTCTAATATAAATGTATTTAAATAATACTTTTCTAGGCAAAAAACATAAACTCTCTCGGAAAAAAAATTTAAAAACATTGAAGTTCGAATTTCAAATAGTAAATAATGGACAGTCTAGTAGAAGAAAATGGAAATTCCAGTTTGGATCCACTGGCCGATACTACTTCAACTACAACAACCTCACAAAGTTCAAATTCTCACAACAATTCAACAGTGTTAACAACTGGAACAAACATTGTTCAATTTATACCAACATCTAGTATTTCGGTAATTTAATTACATCTTCTTATTTTAGTCATCTTTGTTATTATAATAAATGATTAAATTATTCAAAGTATATATTTTATATTTTTGGTAGTTTTTAGTTTTATTAAAAAAAAGGAACCTCTTGTTTTCTTAAAAGAAAATTTGTGATTGCAAATTAATGATAATATGTAGTGTTAATTTTGGATGCATACGCAATTTCAAGTTTGAATTTAAATGCACTTAATAAAAAGCATTTTTGAAATGTGTACATGCATGTATTCTTGCAATTCTTCAAACTTCATGGCTAAGGTATAATTTCTATAACATAAATGATAAACATCCCTAAAAAAAGAACAATGGGATTATGAAGCAAATTATGCATTACTTTTAGGTGAACTAGCTCTTTTATGAATAATTTCACAAAGGGGAGGGTTATTTTTTTTTAAATTAACTACATATGTATATTTTTTTCTCATTAAGATTTTCAATATTTAACAATTTATGTATGTGTATGTATATTTAAATATGTCATACTCTTTTTATTAAATAGACACAATCTGTAATTCAACCTAATCAGTCATCCGTGATACAAACGGCGGCGAACTTGCATCCTGTTACATTACAAAAAGGTGTTTTATATGTTAAGCAGCCAAATACAGTCATACAAACAGCATTAGGAGCAAATACAGTACAAGTAAAATTAAAATTTAATATTTTAAAAGGATATTTGCAATATTTTTTCTCGCTTTAAGATTAAACCTGAACCAAACACACATCATACATTTGATACTAACAGTGATGAAAGTTTTACTGATGAAGATTCACCAAGAAGACATCGAGACTTAACACGACGACCATCTTACCATAAAATACTTAAAGACATAAGCGGTGGGCCAGATATTGGTGGTAAGCTTTATATAAAAATTATATTATTAAATATAGTTCCTACAATTTCATTTGATTTTAAGTTAACATTATTTTATTTTAAATTCAATTTAACAAAATATATATTTAATATTTTAACTTGTTTTAATTATATACAATATAAACATTTTGTTAAAAAAATTATTTTTAAGTTTTAACGAAAAAATTATTAGACTAAATGCTTTATTCATTACCATTTATTGTCATTTGTGTCGTTTTAATGTACTCATGTGCCATTCTCTATAGCATTTTAAAATTAAAACTGGGCTATAGCAATTACAATAATAAATTGTTTGGAGAGATAAGTTATAATAATATTAACTATTTTTGTAAACGCAATCAGCTACTTTAACGTTAAATTTAACAAAGTCCAGCAATAAATTTTATAATTTTCGTTAATGAGATTGTGGGTCAACTTTTCATGTTATTCATAATTAATTCGAAATTTATATAGCTAAGACTTTCAAATTGAATTTTTTGATATGAACTATTACTTTTCATTAAAATCTTATTATTTTATTTGAATTTTAAATGTTTTTTTGCGATCTGGGTAACAAATCTCTCTTTGCAATTTATTTACTAAATATTCATTTTTTCAACTTAAAGTAAAAGAAATAGGCAAGGTAAGTTTTGGACTAACATTTCAAATGCCAAAATTATAAAATTTGGGGCTATCGCAAAAATTGTTTTAAGTTTTCATATAACAAAACGTATTTACTCACAATAAAAAAAAACGATTTACGCATATATAAAAATGCAATTTTGTAATTAATTTAAATGCCACCACTGTATATAACAAATTCACTTTCATAATTTCATTATAAATCTCTAAATAAACGCTCTATTTCATTATTGTATTCCAAACGATAAAAAAATACAAAAAACAGCTGCAATTACACATTAAAAAATAATAATTTTTAAAATATCGCACATCGCGCAATTTTAAAATTATTTAAATAAAAACAAAAATAATGAATAAATTAAATTATGTAATTTTTGTTTTGAATGTTATGGAATTGTTAACAAGAAAGTCTGTTTAGGCTTACAAGTACCCTAAGTCTTATTGTTTTAAGATTATACTGAACATTAAAAATATTGTGAACCTCAAATTCTTTATCAAATTCCTTATCAAAATAGTCTAAAATTATTAAAATGTATTTTAAAAATGATCATAAAGCACAAAAAACCATTTTTAAAAAAATATTGAACTAAAATACGAAATTAAATTTTAATTCACGCTTTTTTATTAAGTGCTTAAGTTTTACATTAAAATTTTTTTATCTTTTGTGTTCCTCTTACGCAGAGATTACCTTGAATGTATTCTTTACTCTCCAAATTCTGTAAATAAAGCTGTTCACAAATAGTTGTTCTCAAGCATTAATAACTTATTAATTACTGATCAATAAGATATTCAAATATAGTTATGGTTTTGTGAGTTTGCACAATAACAATTTTACGAAGTCGCATATGGGTATTCTACGAAGCCTAAGATATTGTTTTTCTTACAACAAGACTGTATTTAATTATTATTAGAAAATAATTAGTGAATTTAAAATTTTTAATCTCGGAAATAATATCGGCACACATATAAATTAGTGTTAAAAATGTTTTTATTTAAAATAATTTTTAATTTGCTGTCGCACAATCACTTGCTGTTTTTCTTCAAAATAAGTTTTATTAAGAAACATGTTCATTGAGTGAAATTAAAAAAAAAATACCAAAACAAAAAATCGAAATCTCTTTCAGGTCAACTACCTATTCAAATCAACGAAAGTGGTGGCATTTCAGCAATTGCCCCCTCTGGTACTAGTACAATAATATGTCAGGATCCCTCTTCGTTTTATTTACCCAGTAAGCATTTTATTAATTATTTTTTCAGAATGTACATAAAGGTTTCGCTTATATGCCATATATATTTATTATTTTAAGTATAACCGTCACATAATAGAAGAATAATGAATCAGTTTTTTTGAAAATTTTTAATCAAGAATATTAAAATATTTTGATTTTCCAAAAAAATATTACTTTGAAATCATTATTTTACATATTCAAAATTAATGTTTTTTAAAATTTTGAATTATGATCTCTGGAAAAACAATGATTTTATTGTGATTTCTTAATAAAATCATGAAAAAGAGATTTTCGAGAAACAAAGCAAAAAATTAATTATTTTAATGAAGGTATTTTCAGAAAATAAAGGACCGTTATTAAAATTTCTTCAAAAAACCGTTTTTCTCAAGCACTGTCTAACAATAAATATTTAAAATATAAACATTTCATATAAACGCTCACTTAAATCAGCTTTTACTTAAAATTGCTCGGAAATATAGGGAAAAAAACTTGAAAAACTCACACCAAATCCATGTATAATGCGCTGTAGTAATTAAAAATTCACATCGATCTAAGTTTATATTTGGGTTATTTTATATAATTTATATCAAGTACATTTACTAAAATGTATTAATATTTATTTTATAATATTAGAAAACAGCTCAAAGCAAATTAAATTAGAATCAAGTCAAATAAGTTGCTTAATATAAAATATGTGTAATATTTTATAATAATTAATAAATATACTACAACGTTGCAAAAATGTTATACCAAAACCAATATTTCAATCGTATTAAAATTAAAAAGTGTAAAAGTCTAAAAACGCCAATGACGGTTTCGATGTCGTTATTAGTATATTGCACTTAACATAGTACATTAAAGATTTGTCTGAGAATATACATAATAATTACACAGCTGTGTTACAGATTTTAACGTAATAAATGTGAGGCTCTAAGTAAATTTACTGTTGCGACGTATTTAAAATATGTTAGCATTCCGTTTTGTTAAAAACAAGTGTTTGAAACCACATACCTTCAAACTATATTTAAATCAAAACTAAATATTATGACATTGTACTGTTAAGCAAAAATGGAAATAAGATATAAATTTTAATTTTTTGACGTTGACATTTCTTTTTGAATAGTAAATATATCCTCCTCAAAATTTTCGGTAAATTGCCATTTTTGTTGTGATATAGATGGACTTTGATTGTGTCGGCAATGTGCTTTTACGGTTTTACGATCTCAACTTGATCATGATGTGCTATCCCGTTATGTTCATTTTGTTATGACTTTGTGGTTGAAATCAATATCCACATCATTTTGCGCATTTTTGGAACCTAGGGTATTTTTTAGGTTAGGCGCTGTTGACATCCAAGATTACTTTGTCGAATTTTGCGCAGAGTATATCCTCCGGTCCCTTATTGATTTTAAGGCAAAGGCTCTGCTCGTGTGTTTGGATTGACGAATTTTCGAATGTGAGTAAAATGGGTAAACTACTGACTTGTACATTTTTACTTGTTAGTTTTTCACATTCTTATATGAATTAAACTCAGGAATTTTTTAACTTATTTGAAACTTTTTTTAAACTTCTGAAAAAAATTATGAAATTTCAATTACATTATGTTTTGATAAATTAATCTTTTAATAAATATTTTTTAAAATTTATTTAGATACGCCTGGGAATGAAGATCAAAGTAGAAAACGTGAAATTCGATTACAAAAAAATCGAGAAGCTGCAAGAGAATGTAGGAGGAAAAAGAAAGAATATATTAAATGTTTAGAAAATCGAGTTGCCGTTTTAGAAAACCAAAACAAAGCTTTAATTGATGAATTAAAATCTCTTAAGGAATTATATTGTCAGACAAAGAATGATTGAGGAAGGCTTAAAAAACCTGATTGAGTTACAATATTAATAAAGTAAATTTAAAATTTAAATAAAAAAATAATCAAATATAAAATATTAAAAAAAATAAGTAAAATAAAAATTTATTTAAAAAAAAAAGAAATATTTTCAAATAAAATTTGAAAAACAAAAAACTTTTAAAAAGACTTTGACGAGAGAATACAAAGAAAATTTTTTTCTTTTGCAGTTCAACAAAAGAAAAATTATTTATTGAAAAAAAAAAAACAAAAATAAATAAAATAAAACAAAATACATTGTTTATTATAATATTTTCTTGTTGTTCTTTAACTAGAAATACATATTTGTAAAACTGTTGTTGTTTAACTTGAATTGACTAATTGAAGTTAGGATTCACAGAAGGAAAATGAATGTTTTGCAAAATGAATATGAATTTTTCAAACTTTTGAGTGTAACAACAGTTATAAGGAAAATATTCAAAAAATTTGCATTGGAAATACAATTTGTAATTTAACAAGAAAGTGTAAAAACTAAATTCTCAATAAAAACAAAAAAAACTTAGCTAAATTTTGAAATCTAGCTCTTTGGAGAAGTATAAATATAAATCTCGAAATGTTTGAAGAAAAATATGTCTCATATAAAACGAGATTATATATTTTTTTTATACCAACTTTTAATATTGTATAATTAAATTAAAACACAAAATTTTACTTGTTTTCTAAAAAAAATTGCTTTATTTTTATTTCCTCATCTTTTTTATTTTTAAATTATATAATATTTATGTAAATTTTTAAAAGTAAATTTAAAAGAATTCAATTATATATTAATAAACTTAATTATTACTTGTATATCTTCTATTTTACAAAATGAAATAATTAATTTTCAAAGCGGTAAAAATAGTGTTCATTATGTTTAAAAATCTAATTAAGATATTTTGTATTCTATTTTGCATTCTAAAAATGTTTTATATTTCTCCCAAAAAAATTACCATTTCATTAAAATATTGTAATAAATGTTTTCTTAAATGCAAATGTATAAATTTATAGAAAATTAATTAATAACTTTTGATGTATGTATAAATATATATATATATATTGTATATATATATGTATATATTATTTTAATTATTGTCACGCTGTAATTTAATTAAAATTTATTTTTTACGTAACGCTTTACGTCAAAAAAAATTTTGAAACAAATTTTTAACTTTTTGGTCAAAAACTAAAAAACATTGGTTTTTTAAATCCAAAATAAAATAATATAAAAACTTTTGCTTGTAGTTTTTAAAACTACAGAACAATATTTTAAATATGTATAAATGTATGATTAAAAAAATTAATCTATAAATTACAATCAAAATTTATTTTGATTACAAAAAAAGAAAATTGAATTCAAACGAATGAAACTGAACTGTGTTAATAAATATTTAATTATCGAAATATCATCTATCTATACTATTCAATTTTTAAATTTAAAATTATTAATTATCTATTTAAACAAAAACAAAATTCTCATTTTCTTCTAACTTAATGCAAATCTACAAAGAAAAATACAATCAATATTCTTTATTTTGGTATATGAAAATTTAAGGAAGAGTTGATAGGCGACTAATAAAAGAATTTTGAATACAACTATAATTAAAACATCAATATAACTATATTAACTAAATTTAGAATGTATTACGTGCATTTTAAAATTACTTAGTAAAAATTATCATTAAAAGCGCACCAAAACGAAAAGTAAGTGTGTTGTGATATTTCATTTTTTATTTCTATTCTAATATTTTATTGCTTGTTAAACTAAGAAATCAACTTGAATTTTACCAATAACAAAATGACTAAAAATTGTGAAATTTTACTTTTCAGAGAGAAATTCTAGGTTCAGAGGAAATTTTTCAAGTTTTATTTTGTAAAAATTCATATAGCAAAAAAATCCATTTCTCACTTTCAATTTGAAACATTAGAATTTTAACTTAGTTTAGACATAGGAAATAATAAAAAATGAAAAATTTTAAAATCTATTCACTTAATTATTTTATAATTGTAATAACTCTTTTATACATTAAAAACATGCTACAATGTTTTTAATAATAAAATTAAAAAATGAAAATTATTTATGTGATTCTGTAACGAGTACCTTTAATTTTTCGAAAATTTGGTACGCAATTTTAAATTTTTAAATTTAAATAAACTTATAAAACCATAAATATGTAATTTGATACTGATAATCGTTAATATTTATATACAAATAATAACTTTCAAAAACTTTGTAGTTTAGGAAAATTTTTCAACATAAGAATGATAAATAAAGTTAATTGAATATCAAGATACACAGTAAATTTTATATGTTTTTGTTAATAAAATAAAAAAGATTTTGTATTTATATTTATAAAATTTCGATTTTAAATAATTTCATCAATGAAATAAAGTAATTACTAAAATTTAATAAAAATCCTAAATTATTTGTTCCTCATTTGCTCTATACTATAGGATGAAATAATATTGATTAAAAAGATTTTTAATTTTATTCATTGTGCTTTGATGAAATTGCGATATTCTCTAAATTGATTTAAGGTAAAAAAATATAATTTCTTTTTATTTTGTCAGAGGTGCATAATATCGAAAAATCTAAAAATTGTTAAGCAACGACCCTTGACTTCGAAATTGCAATAATACAGTAATCCACAATTCAGAGTATAAGTTGTAATAGCTGAATAATGTAGCAATACAATTTTAGTGCAATGTTGAAGTCACGGAACGTAAAAATGAAAATGTATATATTGTGTATAATATAGAATATATCAGAATAAATTATATTTAAATACCGCTTTATTTATTTTTCAAATATTTCGTAAAATGTGTGGTCAAATTTAATTTGAAAACGTTTCAAAATTAGTAGCATGTAAGTTAGTAAGATTGCATTCTTTTAATCATTATTTCATATAATTTGGTATATAAAAAAAGTTTGGTATAATTAATAATGTGTAATATAATAAAGGTTCCTTTTTCCCAAAAAAAAAATAATTAAAGAATTTCATTGGAAAAGTTTTTTGGTATATATGTATATAAATTTAATTATAAAAATAGATTTTTATTTTTAAAACAAAATTTTATTAAAAATAATGGAATCCAGTGAAATGTAAAAAAAAATGTATTATATTAAAAAACAAATGATTTTGCAATTAAATTAGAGAATTTAAATACCAAAAGTATATGAAATAATTAAAATGAATTGATGGTATCTTTCATGAAATAATTTCATTATGTAAATTCGTATTTAGAAGTTTAATCACTAACAATTCTTTACACAGAATAATCCTTAAAAAAATACTATGTTTAATGTATATTTTTTTATTTAACACTGTTAAATATCAAATAAATAAATCCACTTCACTCTTTTGTCTTATAAAATTTTACAATTTTATTTTATATTAAGTAAATTAAAATAATTTCAAATTTTTAATTTTATCAAAAATTATTGTTCTCTTTCGAACATATTGTTTATTTTATTGTTTTTTCGAACCCTTCCTTTTTTATTTAAGGCCACCTTAGGAATATGTGAAAGATTTTTGAAATTTCAAGAAAACTAAGAATAATAATTAAAATTTTAAAACAATTTTCAATGTTTATAAATTTCCTTATTATGTACATATATTCTATGTACTTCATGAATATATTTCTATATTATATATGTATGTATAAAAATAAATTTTGATTGTTTAATTTATAATTCAGATATATAGAAACATACTTATATACATATACCTATAAACATATATGTTTTATAATAGTAACTTGTTAAAAAAAAACTTGATGATAAAATTTGTTATTTAAGAATATATAAAAAAAAATACTTAAAAAATGAAAAAAAAAATCTTAAATTTATTGATATAAGACAAAAACAAAAACAAATAAAATTTATATATTATTATGTAGTTATTATTAAAAGGAAAGTAAATTATAATGAATTAAAAATTTTTAAAATTATTAGTCTTTTTTATAAGACCGCAGTACAGGATTAGTCATTTGTATGTACTAAGAAAATTAAATTTAAAAATATATTTAAAGAATAAAAAAGAAATTTATATTAAAGAAATTTTAGTTATATAACCTTAAAGATATGAAAAATCATTGGTAGTAATTATTTTTTAATAACGCAATTACCTTCATAGTGGTAAACGCATCTCTTTCATTATTATCGTTAAAAAAACAATGCGGTTGCCGAAAGCAATTACTTTCAGCATAATATCAGTTGACATGCATTCGTCGTGTTTATTACCATTTTTTTTTTGATTTGTAATGATAGTGATGCATTTTCGGCAATGAGGTTGTGTGTAATTAGGTAATTATTTGTTTTTATTTTAGTTTAATATTGTAATTATAACTTAATTTCATCATATTACTATATCACTATCACTATAATATAATCCTACATTTAATATTATTATTATTATTATTATTATTATTATTATTATTATTATTATTATTATTATTATTATTATTATTATTATTATTATTATTATTATTATTATTATTATTATTGATCTTATAATTTTTTCTTATTTTCCATAATTTTTTTTCATTATATTTTTATTTATCATAATTTTTATTTTTATCGCTAATATATTCATTTTCTTTTGTTTTTATTATTGCAATAATTATTGTTACATTAATAATTATTTTTATTGAATTTTGTATATGTATATATATATATATATATATATATATATATACAGAAAGTAAAGGAAAATGGCCTTTAGTTTTAAGAATATATTTCATATTTATATCAAGCACTAAAATACATACATATATATATATATATATATATATATATATATGTATATATATATATATATATATATATATATATTTATATACATATATATGTAAAATACTAACTGAAATATAAATAAAAAATCTGCATTATGTCTGTATATATATATATATATATATATATATATGTATTTACATATATATATATATGACATATGTATATAAAAATATAAACACAATATTTGAATAACAAAATAGTATCTGAAATGTTAAGTAATTATTTCTTTCTACAATAAAATCATGCATTTTCCTTATATCGAACCATTAAATTTTTTCCTATTTTATATGAATAAATAAATCCTCATATTTTTAAATATGCCATTCAAAATTTATTATTCAATTTAATTATTTAATTATTGAATAATATAATTATTCAATTTTTTGATTTTTGTTTTTTTATTTTAATTTCATTGTGCCATTTTTAAAATAATAGCAATCCATAGAACATACTTACTTTTTTTCCAATTTCCTTTAATTTTGGTATGATCTTTTAATATTATGTAGGTCTAAATATAATTATTACTCAACATTTCATGTACTACTATGTATATTATACCTATAATATCACGTCTGTAAAAAAAAGAGCAAAAAACTTTGATTCGAGTACCTTATAATTAATTTTTTTAGTTAAAAAATAAAAATAAATTAGTAAAAAAAATTTTTCATTATTATTTTTATTATTAATTATTTCATTATTATATTAATTTTAATAGAAAATTTAAAACAAATTATAATTGTATTTTTGTACTTATTATGTGTGGAGCTGAAATACATTTGTTATTATTTTCTTAAAAAAAAATATGTTTTTTTTTGGTCTATAAAAAGTGAAATTTTTATTAAATATCCAACTATTACACAAAGCCTTCAATCGACTATTTAAATATTTAGGAAAACTTTTCAACTCAAAAGTGTCATTTACTGAATCCGGATTGTTTTTGCAA